GCAAGAGATGACCACTCTGGGCCTTGTTTCTCCAACTCTGACCTGTGTGGATAAGAGTAGCCCACACTTCAGAGCGTTAAGTGAAATGTCACACTGGCTGCACCTCCTATGCTCTGTGACCTGTTTGCCCCTTGTCCGTGGAAAAGGACACGTACCGAGCTCGAGCTCGGGCTCCAGGACACAAAGGAGGGCGATGCGGAGCCCTGTGCTGGGAAGTGCAGCCCTTTGCTGCCCACTCAGGACAGGCAGAGCTGAGTCCCCAGTCCAGTCCCGGCCCATGGCCGCTCCTCAGAAGGACACAGGTGCGTGTAACCCTTACAGGGTCAAGGCAGTGAAAGTGACAAATAAGAAGAAACCAGGGGAATGTGAGTGAGCTCAAGGCAGCCTGGGCTCCTGATTTCAGATGGCATCACAGGCCACACTTAAGGCCTATCTCACCCTCCCCAGCTTTGAAATGGGCAGCCTCTAGCTGCCCACTCCACTGTCCATTTCCGAGGAAAAAATGCAAGCCCTGATCAAATGCACAGCTCCAAAAGGAACACACAACAATATAAATATTGGATTTGTGGACCTCAGCTCCTTGCTCACACCGCAACTGGCTTCTTCCAGAAAGTACCGGCCTCCTCCCACTGCCTCTGTGGCTGCCCCCCCCCCAACCCCCAGGCCCGAGGACATCATCCCTTTTTGATACAAGTAAAAAGGAATGTGTAATGAGCGGCTGCTGTTTTACATGAAAGTCACTTCACATGCAAAGAATGCAGAGCGGCAGCTAGAACTGAGTTGCTTCGGAACAAATCCTTATTAATAATTTAGGTGGTTTTCCAAATTGGAGTGGCAACTTACCTCATATATTTAAGTTCTTCCAAGTGAGAACAGTTAGCTCTGATTTTCTTATCTAAATGTGTCTTTTAAGATAATATGTGTAGGACAATGGAGAAGGGTAATGAGATATTAAGAAGACGTGTAAGGCATGGAAATGCATGTAGCACGTGGTGAAGCTGTGCAGAGTCGGAGAATGTGCTCCCCGGCAGAAGGCTGTGCTCTCTGTGGTCTAGACACCTGCTCGCAGGGGGAGGAACTATATCGAAAGGATGAAATTGCAGCATAGGGCGACAGCTGCCTTCTCCCACAGAAGCCTGTCCTCTGAGCCAGGTAGGCGCCACCCTGGGAAGCCTCATGGTGGCTGCTTCTGAGAACCAGGTACCCTCTGGACACGGGGCTCTCCCACTGGAAGTTGGCATGTCTCCCGAGACTCCTGTGTTGGGAGCAGCTCTTCTTTATGACTGACTTCTTTTAGGAGGGCGGCTGTTGAAAAAGACCATGCCTACAAGACTCGCCATTTGGGGACTTTTATTTTGGTGGGGGGAGGAGAGACAAAGCAAACCTCTAATCCTCCCTTCCTTACACAACAAATCCAAATACTACTATCTCTGGGATGGGAGGCCAGACCACCAGACAGCAGGCTGTGGAGCGAAGGGTTGTGCAAGAAAGCAGTTCAGGGGTTTTCTTTCTGAAAACGGAAGGGCTCAGAAGTGGATTTTGCATCTGAAAGCCTGCGAGAGAACAAGCGGAATCTGTAAACCCAGCTGTTTCCAGGCCTCTGGAGAGAAAGAACTTGAGGCATAGGGTGGGTAGCTGAGGGAGTAGGGGGTTGCCAAGCATGGCAGAATCTATAGCTCTCCGTCACAGGAGTCAGAAGAGGGTCCCGGTGTAGCTGGTGTGGTTCCTGGCAGCTCCCACCATGAGGCTGATTAGAGGAGGCCCGGGACAGGCGCAGCGCCCCGTGCAGGGTGGTGGGCACCTCTGACAAGGAGAGTGGTCGTCCTGCCACAGAAATGCCCAGCAACCCTGGGCTGAAGAAAGGCTGGCTGTGAGCGAGTGACAGAGGGATCTGGGTCCAGGACCCATCCCCAGCTTCCCGGAGGGCCCTTTTCAGAGAACCGGGATTTGCCCCCTCTCTCTCAGCGGGGACCTCACTCTGGTCAATCCCCAGCCAGCCCTGCCACAGGCACGCTAGCGAAGGATGGAGGGAAAGGCTGGATAGCCGGACCAGCCGCTGGGCGCCGGCGCCGGAGCTGGCAGTGGTTCCGGGAGCACCAGACCCTTATCTTCCTCCCTTCACTGCACCCCACACCTGCCAGCCACCTCAGAACCCCTCCCACAGCCTTTCCCGCGAGGCAGCGCCGGGATAAAAGGCAAAGGACAGGGGAAGGGAGGGGAAAACTGAGGGAAGCAGGTTTCTGAAATGAAGAGTTCACGAAGGAAAGGGAACTGGCAAAGTAAGGATTCCAGGAGAAAAGAAGGGAGCTGATGCCTCCCCCAACTCCGCCCCTCCGCGAGGGCGAGGACCCCGGGCTCCTGGAAGCTGTGCCCAGCGCCATCCCAGCCCGCCCCTCTGAGGGTGGCGCAGCCAGCCCATCCGGCCCGCACAGCTTCCTGCACACCCGCAAGAGGCTGGGGGTCGCAGGAAGTGGCCTTCTCATCCAAAGGGACCAGGGGCGCCCCGGCGCAGCCTGGAGCGCAGCCATGGTCTCTGGCCTGCGTGCGTCCTGGTGTCTGTGAGTGTCTGTCTCTGCGTGCGCCTCCCCAAGTGCAGGCGCCAGCCTGTCTACGTGGGACCAGTGCTAGCCTGGCAGACTCCGGTGCAGGGAGATTTTCCCTGGGGTCCTGGAGGATTGCAAGGAGGCCGCGAGCCGAGGGGAGCAGCGGAACCGACCGGGAGCACCGGGCTGCCGGGCTGCCAGGCGCCACCGAGGTGGGACGAGCCTGGGGTTCTGTGGACGCTGTTCGCTTTGTCCTGAGCTTATGGGTATCTGGTCTTCCGTCTTCCGCGCGGCTGGACGGCAGGCTGCGGGCCTAGACGTGGCCAGGGCTTGCCTGCTGCTGGAGCTGCCCTAGAGGCTTTGGAGGGTTCGGCCTCCTCCTGGGCGCTGCCTTCACCGCCTGCCTCTCGCCTGCCAGTACCGCGGCCGGTTGGTGCTCAAATGGTGGCTTGGTGAAGGGACTCGCAGTACCTGCGAGGGCATCGCTGTGGGTGCAAGGTGTGCATGTTTTCGTATCTGTGTGTCAGTGTGTCACCGGGGCTATGTTGTGGGATTGACTGTCAGCTTCTCAGAGTCGCAATTGGTCACTCCCAACTGGCCTGAGCCCCCACGTCCTCTGGCTGCAGCGTCATGATGTCCGTCACTGGGTCAGTCTGGGTCTCTGTGCTCCGAGAAAGGAAAACCAGCGCTTTCGCGTCTGCGACCCTCCCCACCCAGAGGCCTTTCTCACAGAGCCCAGGTGACTCTAGAGGTGGAGGACGCCAGTCCCCTTGAGATGATTCCAGGGTGAGTCAAGCCCCCACCACTGGGAGTTGGTCATCACCTGGGTCTCCGGAGCCTCGCAGCAGCGGGGTTTCTCTCAGCGCTCCCCTGGCAAGACCTCTTTCGCCCCAAAGGGGGGACGCTTGGACATGTGAGCATACTCTCATCAAGATGTGTGCATGTGCACTGGCACAGCAATTACCAACTAATCAGACCCCCTTGCTCCTTCCTCCGCAGGCAAGCAGCAGGTACCCTCAGCCAGACTCAGCCTCCTTCCCGACCAGATCACAGCCAGCACCTTCTTCCCTCCACAGACCTCTTTGGGTTGGTGAAATAAACTTGGAATTTAACTCAAACTGGAATCTCTGACTTCTCTCCTACTAAACAATTCCAATGAGCCATATACATGTAAATTACTGCTGATATTATTTGCATCCTAACTTTTTGGGAACCCCGCCCCCCTTTTCCAGACCCGGCCACCACCACCCCCAGGCCTCCAGGAACCTCGGTCAAAACCTCTTCTCCCCTTCCACTCCCAAGGCTCTTTGCAGCTTTTGCTCCCGGCTGGGGCGCTGCTGCCTGGGTCTCTGCACTTTCCCCTCCGATCCTGAAACCACATTAGAAACTCCAGGCCAGAGAGCTGCAGGGCTGGAAGGCTGAGTCTCCCAGACTGCAGACACTGGGTCCAAAGAGACCAGAGATCCCTCAGCATCAGCCATTGCCAAAGAGTCAGAGGACTCTTCTCGGGTTTGGGGGAGGGGGGTCCTACTGGGACTCTCAGAGGTGTTTAAGGCCAACCCTGAGTTATAAATGGGGTTGCCCAGAGGCTGAGAGGGGGGTTGGGGGCTACCTAGGCAGGCACTGTTCTTCTAAGAATCTGGAAAAGGAAAGGTTCTGGGACTGCCAGGCTGAGGTTGGAGCTGTTGGAGCTGCCACACCAGAATGATGCTCCAAACCCCCTCTGAAGCCGGCTTTGGGGAGTCTCTGAAGTCCTGATCCGGCCATGCATGCTCTTCTGTGAGGCTGAGGGCTCAAGGCCTGACTCACAGGTGCATCCTGGGCACAGAGGGACTTCCTGTCTGAAGGGTCTTCCACCTGGTGCTGGATTCCACCTGCTTCCATAAGGCCTCCTCTCTGAGCGAGGCACTCTAGCTCTGGCTACCCTAGCAGTTGGTCCCAGAGCGATGCACTGGGCAGGACAGAGCTGAGAACCTTCAGCTCAGGCAGGACGGCCAGAGTGGCAGGGCTAGACTGAGCCCTATTGCCAGAGGGACCCTGCTTCCCCATCAGGGTGGCAGCCCCCAGAGTCCGGGGCTCTGCTAACCTCTACTTCAGAGTGGGCAGGCTAGCAGGTTGGCCCAATGCCCAAGCCTGAAAGCCTCGAAAAAGTGCCTTATGCCCCCTTCTGCTCACAAATCGGCTCCTGATTGGGGTCAGGTCTATACCTAGAGTGAGAAGCAGAAAACATGTTTGAAGCCCATGCGTGTGCATGCACACACACACACACACACACACACACATACACACACATATACACACACACATACACATACACTCCAGGGAGAGATTTGCCTGCACTTGGTCTGTTTCTCCATTGGCCAGGGGCATTGAGAGTGCCTCCGAAGCTGGTGCGATGCTTGAAGAGGCAAGAGAAGAAAGTCAAAGTCAGGCAAACACGGAGTCCTCTAAATAAACACCATTTCCGTGCTTTTAATAAGCAAAATAGGAAACCATTTTAATAACCAAAAAACAGAAACCAGTCTGAATAAAACTACAATAGACTAGGTTTTAATATTTTCATATCATAAGCAGGGTTTGAAATTGATCCCTTATTTTACATGAAATAAAAACAATTTCTGTTGCGGCAAATTTGATTTCAACACAGTTGAATCTGTAAAAACTAAAGCTCGTTTCTGATGCAGGACGAATATCCACAATATTTAAAACTGCAAGCACCATGCGGTTCATACAATCTTGTTATTACTGTTAATTTATCAACTAATACAAACTCAAAAATGCATCCGGCCAGCAGCGCCAGCAATTTCAAATGGGAACTAAAAAATACACTTTCGTTTTGGTATTTTTGTCAGTGCAACTTAAATCCTTTTACTGACCTGCAGGAAAAAATGTAATAATAAAGAAAAACACCCAGATCTTCCCTATAACTACTATACAACTGAAGGGGGTGGGGGGAACACCACCAATAACTCTGCCTGATAGCGCAAAAGCAGGGAAAGAAACACACATAACGTGTGAAAGTTGCAAAATTACTTGCCAGTGTTTGGGTTTCCAGTACTTTCTGAGTGTGGACGTTGGTTTAACACAAGTTCAGGTCACCATTGGGCAGTGTCCAGCTGGTGAAGCCAGTCTCCCTAGGGGCACAGCGGCTCCAGCAATTAGTAGCGGCCTGGAGGGTTGTGAAGGGACCCCCAGGGTGGTTCTGATTGCAATTAAAAAAGCAAACACGATGTTTTCCTTTCCTTCATGTTAGGGGTGTCCGTTTAGCCATAAAATACAAAGTGGAAGCAAGGACCTTCCACTTGGGGTTTGAAACTCTGCAGCTGCCCTGTCCTGGTCCTGGGGTTCTGGGACCCCAGTCCTCTTTCTCTCAAAACCAACAAAATGGAAAACTAAAGCGGAAGGGAAAAGAGGACCCAGTGCCGGCAGGGGAGCGGAGAAAACAAGCAACTTTCAAAAGTGCCCAAGACAAAGTTGTTTTCTGATGCACAATGCCCACAACTTTTTTTTTTACTTACAAAAAAAAATGCCATAATAATAAACCCAAACAAAGACGACACTCAGTTTGCTGCCACGTTCTCTAAGCGGTTTGGCAGGCGGGTATTTACAAGCCGACAGCCGGGACTGACACCCGGCAAGCAGCCACCGGAGTTTCCAAACTGCGTTCCCTTCTCACTCAAAGAAACAAGGGGTTATGATCCATGATCAACAACATGCTAAAGTTAAACAAGAAAATGGTACAAAATAGAAATTATTACCATACATGTCCAGCATGCAGGATTAATATTTTTAATGCAGATTTTCGTATTTTTCTATATAATCGAGCAGGCAATAAAACTGATGATCTTTGCGCGCAGAATGTTCTAACTGAGGCCCGCGTCTCGGGGCTGAGAGCCAGTGTTCTCCGGACCCTGGGCAGACAGGTCCGTCTGTCTTTCCTTCCTCGCCTCGCGCCTGCCAGGAAGCCAGGGTCCCTCTCTCCTCGCTGCTCTCTTCCTGGCCGTGAGGTAGCGGCCCCGGCTTAACGCACAAAGTTCAGAAAGCCAGGAGTCTCCTGACGGCCCGTGGCGACTCCTCAGGACTATGCCTCGTAGCCCTCCAGCCTGAAGAAAAGTTGCTCCGGGACTCCCCACCCCCTCGTCTCTCTCTGGCTCTGCTCCAGTCTAGGAGGCAGCGCTGGCGCGCGCCGTTCTCGCCTTGGCCAAGGTCCCCTGCCTGCCCGCGCGCCCTCCCGTCGCCCGCGTCCTGCGCGCCCTTCCTCCCTCTCCCTCAAGTCAAACAGGTCAAGGCTGTGGCTGTGGCAGGGACAGGGTCCAGGGGAGTCTGGGGCTGGGAACTGGGTGCGGGGAGTCCGGGCCGGGCAAGGGCAGGGGCCGGGATGGCCACGACTCACAGAAAGAACTCGGGAGAGGAGGGGCTGTCGCTGGTGGAGCCCGCCTCCCTGAAGCCGGAGTTGGCGAGTTTCTCGCACTTGACCTTGTAGGCGTCTCTTTCGCGGGCCAGCCGGGACACCTCCTGCTTAAGCTGCTCCACCTGCTGAATGAGCTGCGTCTTCTCATTCTCCAGGTGGTGTTTCTGCTGGACGCGTTTATACCTGCACGACTGGGCGTAGCCCCGGTTCTTCAGGGTCCGCCGCTTCTGTTTCAGGCGGATCACCTCGTCCTTGGTGAAGCCCCGCAGATGGCGGTTCAGCTCGCGCACGGACATGGACACGAGCTGGTCGTCGGAGAAGCGGTCCTCTACGCTGCCGCTACCACCAGACGCCGTCGCCGCGGCTGCCGCGTGCGGCCCAGGCCCGGGGTGGCTGGTGGGCAGCTGCTGCGTGGGGCTAGCAGCATTGGACGGCGGCGGCGACGCTTGGTGATGGTGGTGATGGTGCTGGTGAGCGTGTGGGCCCAGCTCTTCGTGGGTCACGCCGGCGCCCGGGTACCCATGATGTGGGTGTGGGTGGTGGTGATGATGGTGGTGGTGCGCACCGCGGAAGCCGTCGAAACTCTGCAAGGGCTGTGGCACAGGGTGCGAGCCGATGAGCGCCTCCACCGCGTCCTCGGGCGTCAGGTTGAGCGCCTCCGGGTTCATCTGCTGGTAGGTGCTCGCCATCCAGTACAGGTCCTCCAGGTGGGTCTTCTGTTCGGTCGGGCTGAAGCTGGGCGACGAGGGCACCGAGCTGCAGGGCGTGCTGAGCGGGGTGGACGACACCGAGCCGGCGGGCTGCAGGCGCGTGCAGGGCCGGCCCGGGCGCTCCGCGCGCCCCAGAGGCTCCTTCTTTACATCGAACTTGAGCAGGTCGAAGTCGTTAACATACTCCATGGCCAGCGGGCTGGTGGGCAGCTCGGGCCCCATGCTCAGCTCCGCGGCCATCGCTGACGCGAGGCGCAGCAGCCGCTGGGAAACTTTGCAGCCGGCCGGGGCGCGCCGAGCCGAGAGCGGGGGCGAAGAGCGGCGAGCCCGGGAGGCGGTGAGCCGAGGGCGCAGCGGGCTGGGGCCGCCGGCCAAGCCTTTGTCTGGAGACGCGGTGGCGCGCCGAAGAGTCCCGAAGCTGCCTGCGCCACCCCAGAGCTCGGGACTGTGGCAAAGCCGGAGCCTGGGCGAGCGGGGAGGGGTAGAGAAGCGAGCGGGGCGCGCAGCTGTGCGAAGGGGAGGCGCGGGGCAAGCGACTGCCGCTCGCTCCCGAGCTCCCTTGGTCTTGGGTTCTCAATTGCAGCCGCTCACAGCCCGGCGGTGCAGCTGTGCTGAATCTGGCGCCGCCGTTGCCTTTTATCGCCTTCTGATGTCACTGGAGAGCGGGGGCCCAGGCGGCCCAGCGCGCTGGCCAATAGCTGCACGGCCCCCGCAGCCCCACGGCGCAGGGCGGGGCGCGCCTGACAGCTCCTCCGCCCCCCGCGTCAGCTGACTGGAGGCCTGAGACGCGGGGGAGGAGGCTTAGCAGAGGGCTGGAGCCAAGTAGGACCGTGGGCCAGGGCCCAGCCCCCCACACCCTCAAAGTCCCGGCCCCCGCCCTCTCGCTTTTGGTGCGCATTCCCCCTCTAGGCCAAGCAGCCGCTTCCTCCACTTCGCCCAGTCCTCGTCCCCAGTTCCTCCCTTTTTCCCCTTTGGTTTCCCCACCCCCTGTCCGTGTCACCCCCAAGGAGGCTCAGAACAAGCGCCGGGACAACACCTCTCGGGTCCTTTGTTCCCAAGCGCCCCCGCCCAGTGGGGGACGCTCCGTGTGCTGCGCGGCCGTGGTCCGTGTGTGTGCCGTGTGTTTCTGCAGGGCTGCACACATTTGTGTGTTGAGGGGTGAGTTGGGTTTCCAAGAGTTGAGCTCAAATCCAACTCTTAGTCTCAAGGGACCCTCCTCGAGCCAACCAAGGGCCGCTCTCCCCTCCTACGGGGTGCGCTGGCCTAACCCTGAGATAGGACTCCACTGGCCCCACCGTTCACTGCGCCCAACCCTCCCACAAATGACACAAGATGAAGGGAGCGGGGAAAGAATCGGACAAACAGCGCTGAAAATCTTTCCCCAGCCAGATGCACGGAACCCTGAGCTTCCCGAGGCATGGGGCTCAGACCAGACCAGGACGATGCTCCGGGTGGCTCTTGGCTGCTGGGGAACCAGCCTGTTTTTGTTTGAACGTTTTGTAACGATTAAGCAGATCCCGGCGTCAGCCGGCGACCGAGAGGCTCAAACAGGCATAAAGTGCGACCCCAAGTGGCCACTGTGCGCAAAGGCGCACCGAACCGCCTGGCCCGCAGCCGGAAAGCTTGGACGACGTCTGGGACCCAGCTGAGTCCTCCTAAGCTGCCCGACCCAAACCAGCCCAGAAAGTAGGCTGAGTGTGCACCGGAGCCCAGGACGGTTTCCCCTAGAGTTACGCAAAGGTCGTCGAATCCGGACTTTGGACTCAGCCGCGAGTTCCCCGCCGATCATCCCCCGTGAAACTCTGCTCCCTGCTCTAGGGATGGGTGGGCGTAGGGGCGGATGCCGATGGGTCGTTCCTAATGCGGGAAGGTCCTAGGCCGAGTTAAGCCTGTGGCGGAAAGCTTAAAGCTGCAGCGAGGGGGTCCAGGGTTGTCCGAAGACAACTCCCGGAGCGCAGACGGGAAGCCAGGAGCGTACCGCACTACGCATACACACAGGTCTCGGGCACAGTGCACCCTCCCTATCCGGGTCCAGGATGGCCTGAAATCAGAGGTTCCTTCCGAGACCCCAGCCCGGGCTCAGAAACCGGATAAATCTTAAATTCGCTGTACCGGGAGACCCGACCCGCCTCCCGCGTCGCCTTCTGCGCTTCAGCGTTGAGTGCGCACAGCGAAAGGCAGGAGCAGCGCGCGCTGGGTGAGTGTGTCCGAGCTACTGCCTGTGCGGGACCAGCACGACGCCGCGCTTAAGTGTCGTCAGGTGGGCTTTACCAATGTGGATGCAACCAGATTTTTTTTTAGCCTCAGAAGATAAAATATTTACCTTCAATTAATCTGAAAACTATTATCTTGCGCCCTCAGTGAGGCGGAGGTGGGATGTGGTCTTAGACCGCCCGTTTTAAATAAAATGAATATCTTTTAACTAAGACTTGAACTGAAAGGTTGGGTTCGGCAAGGGCAACTGTAAAAGCTGTAAGAGACCGTTTTCAACCCTCTGCGAGAGCGCGCTCTCCGCTCTCCGCAGAAACGGTTAGCGGGGTCTGGGCCAAGCTGCTGCCCCGCCCCTGCCCGAAGGTGGGCGCTCGGGACAAGCACCTTCCCAGTCCCCGTCGCGTTTGCACGCAGTGACAGCACACTCGGACCCGCGGCTCCGTGGGGGGACGTTTCGAGGCCATCCTGGGTTAGCCGTCATGGTCTGTGCAGAGGATGGCCCCGTCTCCAGGCGCCCGGGCCGGAGAAACGCACTGGGCTCTCTCTGTGCCACTGAACTCCAGCCTGGAGCGCCCTTCCCGGCTGCGAGAGACCCGCGGCTAGGAGAGCGCGCCTGACCCCGTGGACTTGTGTGTACGCGCCGCGGAGGCAGAGCCAGTCTGTGTTCGCGCCGTGTCCCTGGGTCGCCCTGATCCTCGCTGTCGAGGAATGAAGCCCGCGTCTCAGAGTGCGGCCATCCTCTGTCCCAGCTCCGCAGTTGCGAACGTTCCGCTTTCCGCGGGCGTCCTGCGCCGTCTCAGAGCTGGTCTAGAACTCGGGCTTTGGGCAGGCGCCTTCTCTTTGTCCCTGTGCCTGTCTCCGTTGCAGTCAGTCCTATACCCTGGGCTCTGACTGAGGTATCTCAGTCCATCCCTAGGTCCCCCTCCCCCTCCCCAATCTATTTCCTGGTCGCTCTCCCAGACCCTCCTCTCCCACCCCACCCCCAAACACCTCCACCAAAAGCTGTTGGAAATGGGTGACAAAGACAGCAGTTTGCTCCGGAGTGAAGGTTGCTGCAGGGCCTGGATCGCACGTCTTGCCTCCCTCACCACGGCTCCTGCTGCACTCTGCCGCTGGGTCCCGTGGCGCACCCCAAACCTTAAGGCCACCTCCGGACACCACGGTCAGCCACTTCCCCGTGCCTAGGGTCTAAGGGGATCAGAGTGCTTGGCTCCCCATCAGAGGGTATACAGCTGTACCCAGAGACTACACCCCATCCCTAAAAGACAAGCGGGGTGGGGTGGGGTGGGCTGCGGGGAAAGAGGGAAGAAAAGAGAAGGGATGGTGGGAGAAGTGGAGAGTCCTGAGGAGACGCCCAGTGCAGGCTGGAGACACAAGAGGGGCGCACGCACTCCCAAACCCCCTTTGAAGGGAAACCGAGGAGGATCCGCATAGCCAGAGCCCTCTAGGGAACATTTTGTTATCTCCAGTCCCCAAAACTCCAATTTGAAGTTTTGACCCTAAAGGGAGCCCCTCTCCAGGTTGGGCCAGCGGCGAGGCGTCCTGGGCGCACCACCTTGGCATTCTTGAGCTACTGCTGGTGACGAGGAGGCTCTGCGGGGTCAGAGTCCCCACGGGGACTCCAGACACTAGGGTGGGAGTAGACAGAGAAGTTATTCCTACACGGGGCAAAGGACCCGCCGCCAGCCGGTTCCAGGTTTGCGCCCCTCCTTTGCGCCCCTCCGCCTGCCCTTGCAAAGCACTAGCTAACTACCCGAGAGACCCCCCTCCCCTAACCACCCCCCCCACTTGTGCTTGCACTCCCCCCTCCCACTTGTGCTTGCACTCCCGGGCAACTCCAGGCCAGCACTGCGCTCCCGCAGGCGGTTCAGCCCTGAGGTGCCCCGTATACCGTCCTTTCCTGAGGGCGGCAGGTGTTTGGTGTGGGAGTGGGCGTCTGTGTGCATGGGTGTGGTGGGAGAGATGTGGAAGGGGTGTGTGTGAGGGGAGGACACAGGGCACAGAGAAAGCTTTGAATCACAGAACCCACAACTCCGGGGCCTCAGCACCTGATGGGTTGCAAGGTTGGACTATCCAGCTGGCCAAGGGTTCCAGGGTGTTCAGCCAGAGAAGAGCCTGAGTCAGGGGTCCCCGGGGAACCCACCTGCTGCCTTTGCACCACCCAGATGTGGGATCCCCTATCATCTCCACAGAGCCTGGAGGTCTCTGCCTCTTTTCCTCAGGCCCAGTGGGGGTGGGGTGATTCTGTTGCTCCCACTACATCTGAGCGTCCCCGTCCCAAGGTCTGTGGAAGTGGCAGGATATTTTTCTCTCTTCCTCTTCCTCTTTCCCAAAGGCAGCTGTCACTTCTACTGCTCCCTGCCCCACACAATGGCCATTAGAGTCAGCCCAGTGCTTCAAAAAGGTATTCTTGGGCTCCTGCGTGCAGTAGGGAGCCAGAGTTACCTGACTGCAGAACCCTTTTCGGGCTCACTCCCCGGGGATCAGGGGCCTCCCACTCGCACGTACATACACACAGATATCCTTGGAGTGGGAATCTATTACTGCAACCATTTCACCTGCCTCTTTTTACTTTGTTCTAATGTGAAGACTAGACATTTTTAAATTACATACATTGGCTTACATTCTATTCCTATTGGTTAGTGCTGTGTTAGACAGCCACTGGGCAGTGCTGCCTCTAATACAGAGGGGACATTTTAGGGGACATTTTATAATAATATTCATTCCCATAGGTACAGGGACTAGCAAAGCGTTTATCTTTCATTTTTTCCCTGAATTCTCATGATTCTAATAGGTAGCAACTATTATTATCCTTACTTTATGAAGACAGGTAGGCAGGCAGGTAGGTAAATACAGATGTATAACCATGTCCTGAGAGTTTTATCAATTAATCCAGTTTTTATGTTTGCCCTCTGAGCGAGTAGGACTGTCCCCATCTTACAAGGAGAAGGAGGTTCTGAGACGTTAAGTAATCTTTTTAGTTACACGGTGGCCATGAGCTGGAGCTTCTGGCCCCAAGTCCAGTGCTCTGAATACTACGAGGCTTGTGATCTCTATCTGGACAGGGTGGCATTCTGAGCACCCAGGTGTCGGCACAGATCCCCAGCTGCTCTCTGGGTCAGGGTTTCCAACTCTCCACAGACATGGCTGTTCTGTTCAGGTCACAGCTGAGCCTCTGCCAAGTGCCACGTGTCTGCCGAGGGCTCAAGGATAAGGGCAGTGAATAGTGTGCCTTCTTGTCCATGGCAGTCAAACATCCTGGGCTTCCCCTCATTCTCTTTCCTCTTCCCTGACCCTGGGGCTGGAGGGTGAGAGAGAAACCAAGGCAGGAGGCAAGGCAAAGGAGAGAGAATTTGCAGTCCTCTCATTCTATCCTTTACCCTTGACCTCAGCTTGACCTCTAATCTC